CGAGGCTTGCTGGTGGATGTAATGTCCTAAATCCCTTCCCCAGCTAATAGTAGGGTACTGCTGGGGTGACAGTTTATTAACCCTCACATAATGCTTCAGGTCCAAATGAACACTAGGCACTGACACTGTTTTGAGCCGAGGCATACATTTTTGCTTCTGCCAGACTGTGGCCGTTGCTTTTTTGCTCCACTTGTAGACTGGAAGTATATAGTTTTGTTGCCCAGCTACTGAGTTGAGTGCATGGCATGACACTGTGAGCTCCGGATTTCATTTGGAATGTTTTTCGACTGACCAATGTGGTAGTGTGATTTGCAGATTCAGAAAATGGTGCGATGCCGGTTGTCGCAATATTGGTGGGGCCATTATTTGATTAAAAGTGATCGCATGTGCAACTGCTGATCTTTTAATGACTTCTGCTACCATCAATGATGAACTGCATTTCTAACGTCGGACAGTTTGTGTTAGCACTTCGGATGGCTACCATAAGCTTTTAATGCGAGTGTATGCTAGATTTGCTGAGACAGCATTTTGTCAGTCTTTCCACAAGGGACTGTGATAAACATTCTGTGTTTTTTTCATTGGCACAGGAGCGGAACAAAGATGGGGTGAACCGTTTGCTATGAAACTGAAATTAAAATTACCAGATTACTTTTTTTTTTAACAAAGATTCCTACCCACAATACTGGAAATCTGTGATAACAAATATCTTTGGTGGCAGCATCGTTTGAAAAAAACCAAAAAAAAAAAAAAACTACTAATTATGTTGAACATAATATTTATTTCTCATTGACACAATAAGTACCTTCAATATGGAGGACTTATTTTTTGTTAAGTTATGGCAAATTTTTCTGGAAAAAAAATGGCCTCAACTTGTAGACCGAAGGAATAGTTTTATCACCAACCTTCTTAAGTTATGTGCACGGCGCGATTCTGTGAGCTGCAGATTTCATTTAAGTGTTTTTTTATGCTGACCACCGTGGTTTGTGTCGTGAATTAGTCAGAAAATGGTAATTGGCCTGTTACCACAGAACTGGTGGTGTTTTTATGCGATTAATCGCGTGTGCAGCAACTGGTCCGTTGTAACTACTGCTTTCATCGTCGATAAACTGCATTTCTCGTGTCAGACTGTTTGTATTAGCACTTCTGATGGCTGCCTTATGCATTGAATGCATGTGCATGCTACTGGATATGCCAAGACTTCAGTCTGTGTTAATTTTCCCCACAAGGGACAGTGATGCACATTCTGTGTGGTTTCCATTTGGGGGGTGGGGGGAGGGGGGCAGCAACAGACCAAAATGAGGGGGTGACCCATTTGCTATGAAGTTGAAACTGTGATTATTTGATTTATTTATTTCTTCATTTCTCATTAACATGACTGAATGATCACATAACATGACTGAATGATCACATAACATGACTGAATGATCACATAACATGACTGAATGATCACATAACATGACTGAATGATCACATAACATGACTGAATGATCACATAACATGACTGAATGATCACAATGTCCTTTGTATCCTTCTGTAACAACAGATAAATCTTTCCAAATGTCTGTGATATTTTAGCTATTTAAGTAAACTAGCCTAAAAGAAATGAAGCCTCATTACACATTTTTGAAAACAGAGTATTGCGACAAATCTTTGGACCCATCAAAGATGCAAACAGCGGGTAATGGAGAGTGAGAAGCAACAACGAAATTGATAATCTGTTTAAATCACCATTGATCACTGGCATCATGACAGCTCATAGACTGAAATGACTGGGGTACACTGAGAGAATCTCAGATGGCAGACAGGTAAAAACTGTACACACAAGTGAGCTGAATGGTCGTAGACCACGAGGCAGACCAAGAAGACGGTGGAGAGATAAAGCCCAAACAGACCTGCAAACAATTGGTGTCACCAACTGGAAAGAGAAGGTCAACCAAAGAGATGAGTGGAGGCTGGTGATATCTGCAGCAATGAACCTCAAGGGCTCAGAATGCTGAAGAAAAAGTAAACTAGCCTACTTTGTTCATAATGTGACTCTGCATAATTCTGTTTCTCCCATTTCTGTAGTTTTTTGTTTTGTTGGGGGGGGGGGGGGGAGCGCTTGCAGGGATACCTGAACCTAGGCGTAGACACATTAGCCCCGCCCCCCACTTTCTCTCAACCAAACTTTGAATTTGACCAGGAGACTAAACTGCTCCCCTAAGTCATGTACGGAAGTTCTCTTTTTGTTTATATATTTATTTCAAAAATATTCATTTGTCACTCAGCATACTATAGTTATTATTAATTACCTAAACAAGGTGAAGGACACTTTAGCGCCCCTTTCCTGAATGTTTTCTTTGTGTCGCCACCCCTGCTTGCCTGTGAATGCAATATTCCATTGTCAGTCAAATATCTTTAATCATTAAAAATGATTGATGTTTGTTTTAGTATCCAGAAGCCATGAGTTGTTAACCCTTAGGCTCGGTATTATGGATATCGCAACCTTTCGGCCTCGATTCCATTTTAAATACCGTAAATCTGGGAGAAATGTGGCTTTTCTGCCTACCCCCGGTAGTGAACCCGGACCACAAGGAGTTCGTCACCCGCTCACCACGCAATCCGGTTTAGCCAACTGCGCTAGAGAGACGGGCGATAAAAAAAATGATTGATAAAATGTTTATGTACTATCCTTTGTCCAACTGTCTCGTTACATTTTATAACAAATTGTTTTTGATCATAAAAAGCAAAGTAAAGGACCCTTTTGCCACGCCTTGAGACACATTGGGCAGACAGGGCTAGACCAATGTTTTATAGACCAGTCGGCACTCTGTGATATGGTCAACATGATGACAGTCGCCTATTTCAGGATAGGTTGACCTGGAAGCCATGGTCAGTTTTACAAGAAGTCCAGCTCTGTTTGAAATTAAACCCATGACCTTCAGATCCACAGGTGAAAGTCTAGCCGCTACACCATGGAGGCTCCCATCTTTGATCTTAGCTCAACAGGCACGTGCCTAGTCTACGTCTACCATTTTGCTTATACCAATTACTGTTTATTTACAAGTTTACATAAAGATTTTCATTCGTGTGAAGCTGTTTTCTGTTACACACAAACACATACTAATACATAAAAGAACTTATGTGAAAAAGTAAACAAAATCAAAACAAAAAAAAGTACAAACAAGGAAAGATAATAAGTAAGTTGCACAATCTTATATACCAGGGGACATAAGTTAAAAATAACTTGGTTATTTCCAGAAAGTGTCAGCACGACGTGGGTTCCAGTCCCATTGGGGAGGAAGGGGCATAAATCCACTGCCTCTTTCCCCCCACATGCACGCTGCAAAAGGTGACTTATTAGGGGTATTTCCTTCGAAGTCAGAGTGCATTTGTTTCAGAGGTGAAGGACCAACACTCTGCACACAAATAAGCCAGATCTGTAAAAATGATGTCCATGCAAAACCCAAGTCCTGGAATGAGAGCGAAGTAGACAAACAGCTAGAACTTTTTGCTGGACTTTACATCTGGTGGAAAACCTCACCGAACATGGGACAGTTTTTTGTTATTTTAAAACCCCACCCCCCGCAGTAGACGGGAGCTCTAGTATAATCTAACGATTGAACAGGGTTTCTGGGACTTGCACCCAATTGGTGGCACGTTGTGTCACCAGATGTTTATCGCTCCCTGTACAGTCTTGGTGGGGTGAACGCCACTCACTCACTTGACAGCTGGTCAATGACAAGAAGAAAATGAAAGGTGTTAAAGGGTGGCAGAATCATTGCATTATACAGTTTTGTTGATGTTCTGGGATTTCCAACAAACAGTCAGGTTTAATGACTAAAAGAATACTGTTTCCTCTCAAAATGTCAAGCAACATGCGGGTAATTCAACACAATGGAACTAGTGATCCCTGTGTGGTTCCTGGCCCAATTTAAAAAAAAGAAAAAAGAATAAATCGACTGCCTTATAACGCACATGTCTTAAAAGGCTACTAATTAGGAGTTAGCTGGAAATGGATGTGTTGGTCCAAAAGGCGCAAATACTGCAGCCTAGCTGTAAACCACAGCATAATGTGCCAACCACCTTTCTAAGGGTAAATAGTGAAGAAGAAGTCCATACATATGAAAACAAGCAGGCCATACAAATGAAAACATTCAGTCCATACTCTAAGCTAAATCCCTCAACTTGCAGCGGCTGATGACACCAGTTCTGTGTTGGTTGATTCTTCTTCTTTGGTATCCTGCATGGTGCTCTATCTGACCTCCCTAGGTAAATCCCTCAACGTGCAGCCGCTGACGACACCAGTTCTCTGTTGTTTGGTTATTCTTCTTTGGCATCCTGCATAGTGTTCTTGTCTGGCCTCACCTCTTTCATCTTGCTGTTATTGGAATCTGCTCATGGTTGCAGATGCAGAGTCATCACTTGGTTCCTGTAAACACCTCACGCATTCAGTATATCAGTCTGGTCAATGACTTGTACGCCCTCTAAAGCAGCCATAAATGCAAGCCTATCAACTGGTTAATTTCCTATTAGTCAACCTCAAAAACAGAACCCCGGAACTCACACAGGAAGCACAGATCTTTAAACAGCAGGTTTTGCATCACTAATACAGTGATGGGTAAGTGTATCAATGCTGGCAAGGGACTAGATTAAGAAATAAAGGGCAAATGATCATGCAATTATACATTTTTCTTCAACACATTTATAAGACTGTCATCTTGATGTGGAATTTTCAGCATCTTTCTGTAACACTTTATTCTGAAGTAGCCACCTGTCCACCTGTAACTTATGAGCCAATCATTCACACTGGCTTCTCACTTACTCAATCATGTGCTCATTCACTCACTCACACCACCCCACACACACACATAGCAGACAGTACAGTGATAAACAAGTACTTGTCTGTCCCACCAGTTTACACCACACTATACACGTCTGCAACATTCAGCAGCCATATTGTGTGCAATGAACTCTGGGTCAGGGACAGAGGGCAATGTGTCCACGCTGATGTTGGTCATCTATTTGTCTGAGTTGTTGACTGAGGCCTTCTGGAAGTCTTTGATTGTGTTCAGAATGAAAGCACTGGAATACAGCATAATACAGTTTAAAAGAAAAAAAAAATAACTCGCCTGATTTACAATGAACAACAGAGCAGGCAACATACACACACACACACACACACATGTACTCAGGCTTGAGTTAGAAGTAGAAAGAAGCACTTATTATGGGTTACACCCTGTGCCATGATATTGATCCGTTGAATAAACACACATAAAAAGTGGATTATTTCTTCTTCGTCCTTGTATCCCTTTATAAGAGCACAGGTTCTGAACCAACTTGCACAAAGGTGTCCTTCTCTCTGCCATCAGGTGCAGCATATCCAATGTCCTCTTCGACTTATTCACCTCTCTCTCTCTCTCTCTGTATATGTATGTTTGTGATCTATATATATATATAAACAGGAACCTTTCTTTCCAGATCCCAGTGTTTTACTGTGCATTTATATTGTGTTACAGGAAGGCATGAAAATGCAGCCCATGGTGACAGCAGTTGTAAATGGCATCATCAACATCACCGTTCCGTAACACTGTGTATAGTTGGGTCACCAGTTGCTGCTCACTGACTGATTAGATCCCTCCACCTTTGGTGGTTCAGATGTCATAGATTTCATGGCTACATGCCTAAGGCTTGTCCAGTCAGTCAAGTTCTGTATCTAGGTCTTTCTTGGTCTGCCTCTTTTCCTCTCCCCCTCTACTGAGCCTTGAAGTACTGTTTTATGAGAGGCCACTAGATAAGCTCTTAACCCATCTGTAATAATTTTCTCCTTTGTCCTTATTCCCTTCATGATTTTCCCCTTTCCAAGCAATATGATCCATGACATCTTGTTCCCATTCCATGAATCCATCACAATGCCTGTATCATTCATGTCCTACTTGCACACATCCCCCCTTCCCCAACATATTATCTTCTAACCATCTGTAATTTACCCTACATAAATATTAAATATCTATCACACACAAAAAAAAAGGATCACTATTGCATGTGGGAACCACCACGTTGTAGCAGCTAGACGCTTGCCTGTGGGAACCACACAGTGTAGCAGCTAGACACTTGTCCGTGGGAACCACGCGGTGTAGCAGCTAGACGCTTGCCTGTGGGAACCACATGGTGTAGCAGCTAGATGCTTGCCTGTGGGAACCACGCAGTGTAGCAGCTAGACACTTGCCTGTGGGAACCACGCAGTGTGGCAGCTAGACACTTGCCTGTGGGAACCACGCGGTGTAGCAGCTAGACACTTGTCCGTGGGAACCACGCAGTGTAGCAGCTAGACACTTGCCTGTGGGAACCACGTGGTGTAGCAGCTAGACACTTGCCTGTGGGAACCACGTGGTGTAGCAGCTAGACACTTGCCTGTGGGAACCACGTGGTGTAGCAGCTAGACGCTTGCCTGTGGATCCAAAGGTCATGGTTTTAAGTCCTGACAGAGCTGGAAAGTTTTTAAAAAATAATCTTGACTCCCAGGTCGATGCAGCTTTAAATGGAAAGTAAGGGTAGCTAGTGTGATGCTGACCACATCGCTCACAGAGTGCCGATTGATCTATAAAATTTAGATCTAGCCCTACATACCCAGTACACCAAAGGCATGGAAAAGGGTCCTTTACTTTTACTACTTTAGGTGGACCACCGCTAGTGCATGCAGGGAAGATTTTATTAGGTTAAGAATAATAACAGACTCTTTGCCAAGTGGAAACTATGCAAAGTCTGGGCTGAGAATTTTCCCTTTCACCAAAGACAGATTCTAATTTTAGTTTATCGGATAACAGATAACTAGAATATTCTTAGTGGAAGGCACAGATTGAATAAGGAAACCTAAACACATATGGACAGGGGATTTAATTGACAGAATAATGTGGGAAGGGCACTGAATGAGCTGCAGGAGTGAAATATGGGATAACCTGGCATGAAATGGCTGAGGTAAACTGCTTCAACAGGAGATGAAGGTCGCAAGTAAGAAGACGATAAAATCATGTGCCTCATCAGGTATCTTCATCTGAGAGACTCTTAATTTTTGAGTGTCATATCACTGATACCAGGTTGTAGCACAGTATAGTGATTTTCTGCATCTGTCTTGTGCTTCTCGGGTTGTAGATTTGTTTATCTTTTTGCAGGTTTTATCTACACTATTTATTCATCTCTTTCTGGGTCTTTCCCTCACCTTCCTCAGAGATGTTCTGCTGTTTAAAATCTCTTATGCAGTTTATCATTAGATGGCTGAACCATTTCATTCTTGATCTGTCACTATAATTCAGATACGGTCTTATACCAATTTTCTCTCTAATGCTGTTATTCGTAACCCTGTCTCTTCTAGTTAATGACCTAAATAGTGACTTTACGGAGACATATCATGTGACCGGTAGTTATTTTTTCTTGTAGTGCCCTACTCATTGTTCATCAACTCGCTTCTCACTTATAGTAAAATAACAGCAGACAGAGTTACCTACCTTGCCCTTTTAGCCATCTCATTTCCGTTCCAGCGAGGACTGTAGGGAAAGTTGACGTATCTCTCAGTGTAAGGCTTTTTATTTTGATTGTGGTAAACGGACTTGAAGATAAATGTCGGGTGATCAGCTGGGAAATACAGTGGCAGCTCAACTGGACAAATGTTAAACAAAAAAAATTAAGGTCACGCAAGTTTAATGAAATATTTGTAAGATAAATATATTTTGTTTCTCATTTATTTCCTCTTCTTTTGCCTTTCATCTTTCATTGGAGCATATGCTTTCAATCAACTCAGTCCGGGCCCTTTGTTGACTTGTTCATGAATGGATGGATTTTGCATCTAACATTTTCTGCATGATGAGGTAGTTAGTCTCACATTAACTCTTCTTAACCTTGTCTCCCTGGGAACACTAAACAACTGATTCACGATTTATGGGAATTCCCTCAAAAATCCTTTAAAAAAAAGTTTTAAATGAATGTGAGGCCAAATTGGCTTTACAAAAGTTATTTAATTCAAAAGAAAATACCCCTTAATAGTTGAACATCCTTTTTTTTAAAGCTAATATATTTATATCAGGATCTAAACTGCTGCACAGGTGCAAACACAACCAATAGCATTAACTATGTGACTTGTAAACACTTCACTCTTGAAATGTCTGTTAGGTAAGAACTCAACCCTGCCGGAAGTTTCAGCTGTGCAGCTTCTTAGGGTGGCAGGCCTAATCACCACTTATAACATGAGTGGTAGCTTAGAGTTAACAAACTGTTAACTTCCAAAACTCATGCAGTTTTATAATTTATGTTATTGTTGTTGTTTGCGTTCACCGGCTATAAACTCCAGTGGAAAGACCTGGTTGTTCATTCATTTCTGGACTTTGGCTTTGTTCCAGGACCTGAGTTTTGCGTGTGCATCTGTTTTACAGATCTGACTTATTTGTATGCAGATTGCTGGTTTCTTGCCTCTCAGGCAGATGCACTCCGACTTCAAAGGAAGCCCCCAATTAGTGGACTCTTACAACATGCTTTTTGGGGAGGCAGCGGGTCTATTCTTGTTTTCCCTATAATGGGGCCATGGAACCCACACGGGGGATTTATGTTATTGTTATTTAACATAAACATTAACTCAATTCCTGTTGGTAACATTAATGTTATTTTGTATGATCCCTTTGTGAGGTAGCACCATTTCTCTTCTGAGTGGAGGATCACACATGGGGTGCTTGTGGGTTCAGATCTTAGTGGAATCAGACTTTTTTCCAAATGACCCTGGCTCCAAGTTTGACCCAGCTTGAAAAACAAGGTAGCAGCTGAGTCCTGGGAAATAAAGCCAGCCATCATGATGCTGACCAAATCACTCCCTGAATGCTGGTTGGTCTATAAAATATAGGTCTAGCCCTGTATGCCAAATACTTCTGAAGGCATGAAAAAGGGTCTTTACTTTTTTACTATAAGACATGGGTATGCACATCTCTAATTCCGACACTGTTAAGCAAGCATCGAGAGAAGGGGGGGGGGGGGGTAGGTGGTGGTTGAGGAAGCAAGCATGTGGGGGGGGGGGGGAGGTAGGTGGTGGTTGAGGAAGCAAGCATGTGGGGGGGTTGGTATGTGCACGAGGGTCACTTTCCTTTGTATATAGCCTGAGACCAGTACTATTTAATCTGCATTTGTAAGCAGTTCCTAAGTCTGACTGCTAGTTGTGTAAGAATAATCACTAAATATACCTTCAGACACATAGCAGCTACATGTTGATTGGCAGTTGCAGATAAAACAATAGCACCATATAAACATGAGAAAGAGAGTAATAATTTACCTGCAAAAATGAAGAAGAAGTCATTCCACTCAAATAGGAGTGATATTTTGCTAAATGACTGGGCATCGTACTCTAGGACAGCCCTGTAATATTAAAACAGTCATTACTTACCAGTGCAAAAAGTATGAGAGTATAATCATTTTCATTACTTAACAGTGCAAAAAGTATGAGAGTATAATCATTGTCATTACTTAACAGTGCAAAAAGTATGAGAGTATAATCACTGTCATTATTTGACTGTGCAATTATATGTCACACAGAGCTTTCAGTTTGTTTCTCCATCCTGTTTTAGCGTGAGCAATCCCTTTCTTTGAAACAAGGGATGGAATTCAGTCCAGCACCTTTGTTATCTCCTCATTTTAGGGTTTCTCTTGCACATCCTTGCTTCCTCAACTCATTTGTTTCCAGTTTCAGTGCCTGCTTGGTGATTCTCAGTTCACTTCTTCGCAGGATGTGCCTAACGTAGCACCTTCTTCTTTGCCTTACAACTGTGGATACCGATGACAGTGTAGATATTTGTCTTATTTCTTCACCTTTCAGAAAATCTTGAGAGTATCCGTACCGAAAAAAAAAAAAAGGTTTGCGAGAACCAGGTGATGACTGTGAATCTGCAACAATGACCAGACTGCAAGAACAGCATGTTAAAAGGGGTGTAGCGAAACAAGAGCACCATGCAGGAAGCCAAAGAAGAAACAGAAACCAACACAGGACTGGTGCCATCAGCCGCTACATGCTGCAGGATTTACTGAGGAAGGGACCTCAGCATTTATGGACTGAATGGTTTGAAGTCCAATGAGGATAAAAACCACAACGCTAGCATTACCTACTTAATTAGACTGTAATCAGAATCGCATTCACAGCAAGGAAAACAATCTGTGTTGCTTCATTTCTCACAATCATGAATTAAAAAAAAATAACATTAGCTCTACAGAGACCCCTTAGAATCATCCCTTGATCTATGAAGTTTATACTTTGTCACCAGTCATTAACCGAGGTTCCAACTTCACCGCAGACGGGTTGCCCCGTAAATTCCAGTCCTGTGCCAGGGCAAATCACATAAATTGTCCTTCACTGTCCTATACGAAAACTAGTGGAAACATGTCAGGCTCAACAAAATCTTGAAGCATCAGACAGCTGTCAGATGTGCCAACACTAACAGTCCCATACCAGAACTGCAGCTCACTGCTGACACATGCAGTCAGTTATGAAAGCAGCATTGTATATACAACACTGCAAAAGGACACATCATTCTGAAAGTAACTGGCCACCAACTATGTTAAGTGCGGTTCATAACAACAAGTCATTGTGGGCTCAACAGAAAAAAAAACATTTTACATGAAATCCAAAACTCACAGTGTCACATAAAGCATTACACTTAGTAACTGGTGACAAAACCTTTTGAAACCCAGTCAAGAAATGGGGAATTTGCATCCTAAAACTTGTTAGAAACAAAAAACTTTTAAGAGCAACAACAGTATGCCATTTTGTGATGCTCAACAGAAAAATCATATACCACATGAAATCCATAGCTCACAGTGCTGCATCAAGCATTCAACTCAGTATCCGGGTGACATAACCTTAGTTAGTTATTCCTCTTGTGCCAAAGATGGCGCATAGGGCAGAGGTCATAGCTTTCCACGTCTGTCGGTTCGTTGCCACTTGATGTAGGTCTTGAGTGCGACTGAGACCTATGGTTGAGCTCTCCCTTGTGATGGTTCTACGGAGAGTTTCTTTTGGTCTTCCCTGTTTTCTTTTACCCTCTGGTGACCATATGAAGGCTTGGTGGGGAAGTCTCTGTATGTCCATTCTGAGTACGTGACCGATGTAATTCCAGCGACGCATTCTAATAAAATCAGACACATATTTTTGTTTTGTTTCCTGTCTTATAGATGTATTTGACCTAAAGTCCGACCAGTGAACATTCAATAGCTTTCGGAGGCATCTATTCTCGAAAGCGACTAGTTTCTTATCGATTGATACTGATGATTTCCAACTTTCACAACCATAAGTTAGCACTGGGATCACATAGGAATTGAAGACCTTAAGTTTCGTGTTGTTGCTGAGTGATCTTGACTTCCAAATGTTTGACAGTTTGTTAAAGGCACTTGATGCTAACGCGATTCGAGTCGTTATTTCTGATGTTGTATCTCCCGCAGAGGTTATCTTGCTCCCTAAGTATGTGAAGCTGGTTATTTTTTCAAGAACAATATCCTTTAGTTTGATGTCTTTCGACTCGTTGGTAAGATCGATGATTTTCGTCTTGGCTGCGTTGACCTGAAGGCCGATTTGGCTTGAAATATTCTGGAGGCGGTCCATTTTTTCCTGAGCTTCTAGATGTGTTGTGCTCAGGAGTGCTAGGTCGTCAGCAAAGTCAAGATCTTCGAGAACTTTGTCGACCCATTTGATGCCTAGATGTGTGTCCTGTGTGCATTTGCGCATGACCCAATCGAGTGCTATTCCGAAAAGCATTGGTGACAAGACACATCCTTGTTTCACGCCTGTTTCTACTGGGAACCAATCAGAATTACCAAATTCCGTTCTAACAAGGCAGCGGGAATCGGTGTAGAAGGCCTTTATAATATTGACATATTTATCTTGGAAACCATAGATTGTGAGTAGCTTCCAGAGTGTAGGGCGGTGTATGCTGTCAAAGGCCTTCTGAAAATCAACAAAGTTGATGATGAGTTGGGATTGAAACTCTACTGACTCTTCTACGATGGTCCTGAGTGTGAATATATGGTCGATGCATGACCGATTCGGTCTGAATCCTGCTTGTTCTTCTCGGAGTCTTGCATCTATTGGCTTTTTCAGTCTCTGCATTAGCATGCTGCAGAACAGTTTTCCTGGTACGGAGAGTAGGGTGATACCACGCCAGTTGTTGCAGTCTGTTAAATCACCTTTTTTGGGCAGTTTGAATATAACACCTTCTTTCCACTGTTGCGGTGGGGATTCATTTAGCCAAACATCGTTGAACAGCTGTAGCAAATATTGTAAGGTGTTTTCGTCTGCTGCCTTTAACATTTCAGCTGAGATTTCATCGGTACCAGTAGCCTTGTTCTTCTTTAGTTTTTTTATTGCTGATTTAAGTTCTAACATTGTGAATGGTTCACAGGTAGCATCTAGAGGTGGCATAGCTTCTTCTTCGTCTATATTGTGAACAGTGTCGGGTTGTGGCCTATTTAATATTTCTCTGAAATGTTCTGCCCATCGTTGCTTTTGTTTTTCTTCAGATAATAATAATTTACCCTGTTTGTCTTTGATGGGTGCGTTTGCTGTAGGTGTATGGTTGCACAGCTGTTTCATGATGTGGAATACAGCTTTATTATTCCCAGTTCTGGCAGCCGTTTCAGCATCGCAAGCTAGGTTGTGTATGAAATCTTGTTTATCTTTCCGTGCACTATGTTTCACTTCTTTATCTAGCAAGGTGTACCTTTGTTTGACTTTTTCATATACAGATGTGTCTTTTGTAGATAAAAGGGATAATTTGGCCTGTTTTCTTTCCTGAATTTTTATCCAAGTGTTTTCACTCAGCCATTGTTTCTTCTTTCTTTGCATGTAACCAACTGTGTTGACTGCGGCTTCCTTGAAGGTGTCTCTAAAGAAGCTCCATTTTTGTTCTATGCTGTATTCAACATTATTTTTGTTAGTTAAGGTTTGTACGTAGTTGTTTTGTATCCCAGAGTTAAATGTGATTTGATGTTGGTTTGACAACAGAGACTGTGAATCTATTTTCTTGCTTGTAAATGTTTTATGTAGTTTCTTGAGCTTCATCTTTAGTTTGGCTATGCAGAGGTTGTGATCGCTGCCAACGTCTGCTCCTCGATATGCTCTGACATCCCGAACTGACGAGCGGAATTTGGTACTTATGCAAAAGTGGTCTATCTGATTTTTAGTGTGATTGTCAGGGGAAATCCAGGTGGATTTGTGAATATCTTTATGTGGGAAGGTGGTATTTGCTATTAACAGATTAGCAATTTCACATAACTCGAGTAGTCTTTCGCCATTCTGGTTTATGCTCCCTATACCATGCGCTCCCATGTATCTTTCAACACCGCTGTTGTCATCTCCAACCTTGGCGTTGAAATCGCCCATCACAACAGTGATGTCGTGTTTAGGTGTTTTGTTGATGGTGTCAATTAATACGTTATAGAAGGTGTCTTTGTTGAAGTCAGTATCATCATTTGTAGGTGCATAGCATTGTATGACTGATAGTTTGAAATACCTGGCTTGGAAGCGTGCTGCTATAATTCTTTCATTGACCGGTTCCCAGCTGACGAGTGATCTTTCTGTTCTAGGTGACATAATAATCGCGACACCGCCTGAATGTTGGTTATCAGTTCTCCCCGAATAAACTATGTGTTTTTGTTCATTAGTAAGGAACGTTTTACCCGAGTTGGTCCATCTACATTCGCTAACACCGAGGATATCCAGATTGAAATCATTCATAACACTACACACTTGTGCTGTTTTCCCTGTCTGGTACATAGTTCTAACGTTCCAATATCCAATTTTAAAAACATCGGTGGCATTCAACAAATTAGAACGAAACGACATGACGTTTAAAGCCAGAAATCTGTTTCTGTAACAGTGGATGTTTTACGATGGCGGCTTGTTAGGCTACCGATCAACGGACATAACCTTAGGAATCGCAAAACCTGGCTAGAAATCAATAACTTTTTGGAGCAACAGGGTTATGCTTGAGTTCGGCCACTTTGAGCTTTGTGTGATGCTCCCGGTTGTGGCCAGCTGCTCAGATACCGCTACTGGGTAGAGAAGTATTAGGCCTTCACACATTCTAGGTCATTTAGTCTGAGACATGGTAATCAGGTCTCTTCCTAATGGCCTTGCCTTCTCAGAAAATTTCTAGAAACTGTTTGGTACCTATTTTGTTCATACTGGGCCGACTTTAGACCAGCTCTCATCAGAAAGAATTTGGCCACTTCTGTGGACCAAACCTTGACCACTGTCTCGGCAGGCAAACATAGCAACCATTGTGCATCGATCTGTGTGAGTTTTCCTTTGTTTGCTCAAAATAAATGACCTCAACTGTTAAGGAAGTTGCTGACAATCAAACCTCTTGTACGCTACAGAATGAAAAAGAAGTTCAATTTTTTTGTCACCTTTCGAATTCACCTGTTTCTAATTCTCTATTTCATTTCCCTCTTTTTTAGATCTCTATCTCTTTCAACCTGTAAATTTAACTGAAAGTAAGTAAATTTATTATCAGGTTTTTTATCAATGTAAATAATATCCAGTGGCAAGGCCTTTAAACTAAACATACTTGTTTTATTTTTACCAGAACAATCCTGTCTTTTCTTCTTCTTCTGGTTCATCCAAAAATGTATAAGCATTGTGCCCATTTACAACATGACTGCAATATTTGCGCCTTTCGTCCGACTTCTGCAGGCATTTGTTGCTGAGTTAGCCTTCCCAAAAATCCTGCCTTTTTATTTCCATAAAATCCTGTTGTTGTACTAAGCTACTATATCTTATGTGGAATGGTAACTAAGCTACCATATCTCATGTATTATGGTAACTAAGCTACCATATCTCATGTATTATGGTAACTAAGCTACCATATCTCATGTGTTATGGTAACTAAGCTACCATATCTCATGTATTATGGTAACTAAGCTACCATATCTCATGTGTTATGGTAACTAAGCTCCCATATCTCATGTATTATGGTAACTAAGCTACCATATCTCATGTGTTATGGTAACTAAGCTCCCACATCTCATGTATTATGGTAACTAAGCTAACATATCTCATGTATTATGGTAACTAAGCTAACATATCTCATGTATTATGGTAACTAAGCTACCATATCTCATGTGTTATGGTTATTAAGCTACCATATCTCATGTGTTATGGTTATTAAGCTACCATATCTCATGTGTTATGGTTATTAAGCTACCATATCTCATGTGTTATGCTAACTCATTCTATCCCACACAGGAACTATTTTTAAAGTTCCTCAGGCCTCAATTCGATCAAATGTTTTTTTATCACCAAACAGCACACACTGAGCTGATTTCTGACTTATTGTATCTCTCTGTCAAAATATTCATTATAACAAACCCCTACCAAACAGCACACACTTAGCTGATTTCTGACTTATTGTATCTCTCTGTTAAAATATTCATTATAACAAACCCCTACCAAACAGCACATACTGAGCTGATTTCTGACTTATTGTATCTCTCTGTCAGAATATTCATTATAACAAACCCCTACCATGACCGGCTTTGTTACTTACGTTCCAAAATGGCTGAGAAATGCTGCAATGTAGTCTTTTCTTTTCTCATATCCTTCACACACAAGCTTCACCTGTCAACAAGAATCAGTCATTTGTCTTGTAGTAACCAAACAGTAATGCAGTACAAATGAAGAGTGTAAAATTATTAGAGAAAATGGACATAAACAGTCAGTGTTTTCTAGAAATAAACAGTCAGGGTTTTCTGGACATAAACAGTCAGTATTTTCTGGACATAAACAGTCAGTGTTTTCTGGACATAAACAGTCAAGTGTTTTCTGGACATAAACAGTGTTTTCTGAACATAAACAGTCAAGTGTTTTCTGGACATAAACAGTGTTTTCTGAACATAAACAGTCAAGCTTTTTCAGGACATAAACAGTCAGTGTGTTCTGGACATCCACAGTCAGCGTTTTCTGAACATAAACAGTCAGTGTTTTCTGTACATAAACAGACAGCATTTTCTGAACATAAACAGTCAGTGTTTTCTGGACATAAACAGTCAGTGTTTTCTGAACATAAACAGACAGCATTTTCTGGACATAAACAGTCAGCATTTTCTGGACATAAACAGCCACAGTTTTCTGGAAATAAACAGTCAGTGTTTTCTGAACATAAACATTCAGTGTTTTCTGAACATAAACAGACAGCATTTTCTTGACATAAACAGTCAGCATTTTCTGGACATAAACAGTCAGTGTTTTCTGGACATAAACAGTCAGCATTTTCTGGACATAAACAGTCAGTGTTTTCTGGACATAAACAGACAGCATTTTCTGGACATAAACAGTCAGTGTTTTCTGGACATAAACAGTCAGTGTTTTCTGGACATAAACAGTCAGTGTGTTCCGGACATGTTATGAGAAGGAATGGAGTCAAGAACTTGGATTACCACTGGCAAGACTGGTGGAAAGGGAGCAAGAGAAAGGCAGAGATAAATTCTTGGATGGTTTGGTCAGATGGGTGCCCCAAATAGGTTCCTGGAACCCACACAGGGAACTCAGTTACAATTTGTTTCCCTTCTACTTTAATATAATAGTTAGGTATTATATTTCCGTCTTCCAACTATATAACCTGACATGTCATACTCAATTTAGTAACTGACTTCTTACCTTATTGTTTTCTATCTCTTCCTTTCCTATATTAGGTTCTATGCTTACACTTTGTCTTCCATATAATTCCAGACTATGTCATTCTATTCTTCTAGATTTCATGGTTCTCAGCCTTATTCAGGGATACACTCGAGCCTTATATAACTTTAACCAGCACATCTAATTACAAAAGCACAGTCATCTAATTGTCACCCGTTGTTTTATTCAGCACCACATCTAACGACGAAAGCACAATGCCACCTATTGACTGTTATTCTACCAGCACAACAATTATGAAAGCAAACTGTCACCTGCTGTTTCAGCAACTGTCTGACATTCTCCACGTACTCCCCCAAAAGAACGCCATGTTGAAATACAGGAATGTGCAGGCTACTGGCTCCCCCAAAGGCTCTGTCGAGAAAAGACATTAAAAAAATAACATTTCTTCTGGCACTGTTGCAGCCATAAATATTGCTGTAGCTATGATAATATATCCTGAAAGGCTAATCCTGACAATAACTGCCTGCACACTTTGGATGTATTGGCCAAAAGGTGCTAATATTGCAAGCATGCTTTAATTTAGCATAACAGATTTACACCTTCACAACAGCAACTCAGCAGCAATTGTGGACTTATGTGTCACATATCACTCCTGCCGCGTGCCTAATGTAAGGATTCCTCCTTCAGAACCAACAGCACTCAGAGATAATTATGTTGAGTCGTTTGGCTCGTATTGGTCTAAGGGATTCCCCGTGGCCAATATACGCTCAACTTATCTCTTGAGTAGGGCAACTCAAGTATTGGCACTACAAAATATATCAGTATATAAATACAATATTTCTAGGCACACTTGGCTGGACACCCCCACTACTTACTAAAGAAAGCCCCCAGGTTATGATAGTTCATTATCATAACCATGTTAACACATATAATGAAGATACATACACATACAACTGCTAAACACTTAAGAAGGTAACATAGAGAAACCTAAGTCAGCCATGAAAATGAATGCATGTATTTAGTATAATATCTGTACATAAAAAATTGAAGTGAATTTCAGCTATCAGTGAAAGAATCTCAGCACCAATGTCAAGATCCCAAGGAAACTATACAGACAGCCGGTCCTGGAGGTGACTATATGTCATCATTGGAAACAAATGAGCTGTGAGGAAAAAAACAGCATATGGAGTATCAGACTTAGCTTCTATCCTTTTTGTCTATGATGCCTCCTTCAGCTCCGGATGATTCGACTGTCTTTGATTCTGGAAATTCTGCTCCACTGGATCAAATAGTCAGAGAGTACCTCACCATAGAGGACACAATACTGCATTGGTACTTAGCAAGTCTCTATCACCAAGTAGACTATATATTGTTTTTGAGCTACCCTAAGCTCTAGCACTGGTAGGATGTTTGAGGTACCATCTCCCACATGTTGGAGATGTCAGGAACCTTCACAGGTGTTAGCTGGTGGGTACAGTTAGTTTAGGGTTGTTTGGTTGGTTGCTGGGTGTTGGTTGGACTGTGAAACTTCTGCCAGCTCCTCACAAAAGATACATCCTGTCAAGAAAATAACTCAACATTAGTCATCACCAAGAGGGTAACATCTTGACAGGAAAGACAGAACAAGCATCAGTCATCAACCCCCATCTGCTGACTCCCCCCTGCTCTCCTGTTTCATTCCTCAGATTGTCTCTCCAGACCAAGAGACATAAGTCTCCTATATTTATCTGTCTGTTTAGTGCAAGAGAAGGCAAGTCAGATATACAGTGGAGATAGATAAAGTGTTCTAACACATATATCACTCTCTCTCCCCCCCCCCTCTGCACACAGACACCAATATTTACTGTCAGTACCTGCATTCCCTAGATTTCCCAACGCTCGCCCTAGCACTCATTGATCTGGGTCAAACACACACATACTTTGATTAACAAAGTCCTGACCCAATTCTGTCCCCATTTGGTATGCACAACTTCTCTAGTTAGTTTAAAACGTACATACTTGTAAGGGTATTAAGTTTTACCAGTATGGGTGGTTTATTGAGGGCATAAGCTATTTAGTCTGTACAGGGGAAGATCTACGTTCGAATCCGCTTCTCTAGCGATCAAGACCGGTCGAACTAAGTGTGATCACACAGCCGATACTGATCTCTCTATAGCAGTGACTACTTTACAGCCATCATTTTAGGTACTCGTAAACTATAATTAACTTACCCAAGCATATGTAAAAACTGAGACATTCCAGATCGCCTAGAAAGATGAAATAATACAGGCATAGATTGACACGTCTGGACGCTAGGAGCCGGCCAGAGAGAATAGCGTCACTTAGACACTTCAGGCGTTGATGCAAAAAGAAGTCCCTAGTATACATGAGCAAGGAGTAAATCGGTTTCCACGAAACCTCAAATAACTCCCTTCATATATATCAAAGATATATACATTTAAAAGTGGAGTTTAGTAAAAGTAACCAGAAAGGGTAGACATAATAATGTTGTCCAATAAAGGCCTATATATATAGATATAAGGGACTATATATTTCTGGGCGAGTCCAAGTTTGAATTTTGTGCAGATTACAGGTAAGACAGGTTATCAGCCTTACAGACCGATGCGTAATGGCTATCATTTCACGACAGTACCCCCCCCCCCCCCCCCCCCCCAAAGGGAAGAGCGTACTACGCGAATGAACAATGATCAGCCATCTACACATCTATGGACTCACTACTTTCAGCTTGCTCATCACCTTCAGTCTGTGAATTATCAGACAAGGGATGGCGGCTCAAGAAATCTGCTCTGAATCAAAGGGTTGACCAAACCAACCTCTCAGAGACAGATGAAATATATACAATAATGACAATCATGTGAAAATAGAGAAACCTATGACCACTATACAATACTAATCAAAAAGGAATCTATATAGAATCAGTCGATGGCCCTGAAGACCTAAGACTGATGACTCCATCCATGTATCACTGATCCCTGCCAGGTACATGCAAAGATGTAGGTTCAGACCGAACCCCCCGATCGGGTTGGCTGAATAAACCCACACACCATCCTGGTACTTCTGTCATATTCAGGAAATATACCGGTGTGTCTCCTACATCAGTAGTCACACAGGAAGGTCGTCGAGGCATGTGGGATATAATCCCTCCCGTCTGATCCTTCGCGAGGTTCGGAAGGATAATCCTCCCCTCGTCACTATGTGCTCCAACAAACACAGGAAGGAACCCTGGTGTGAATTGAAAATTCTTCACCTTCTGGTCCTCCTGATGGTCTGGAGGTTTACTCCATTCCTCTTTAAAAAGAGGAGCTTGCACAGGGCATTGACGAAAAGGCTCAACAGGAACCAATGTCGTAAAACACTCATTTAATGAAGTGTGCCCTGGCTCCACTCTCAGGACAGAGTTACACTCTGACAAGAGTTGCTCTATAGCTTGTTTCTGAGAGACAGAGAGAGTTGGGTTAACCTCTACATCTTTATAGGTCTCCCTGGGGTGAAGAGGATATTCCACAGCTGTGGCTTCTCCACCTTCCACCTCCATAGCTACAGAAAGTGTCAAGAGGGTCGGTGTGTCACTTACCTCTCTCTCGTTGTATTTCCGGAGGAGATTAATGTGATAGACCTTTGACTTACCTTTAATGTTGATCTTATAATGGATCCTGGATATCTTCTCTACCACCGTATAAGGGCCTCCCCAAGCTAACTCTAACTTAGACTTCCCTGATGGTAGCAGCAAAAGAACCCTATCTCCAACCTCAAGACATCGTTCCTTCGTCTTCCGGTTGAAATGTGCAGCGTACCTCTTACGTGCACGAATCAAGTTCTCTTTAGCCAGGTCCCACCCTAGCTTTAACCTTTCCTTGAGTTCCTGCACATACTGTGATATGGTTTTCAAGGAATCATCTGCCCCTTCGTCTGTCCATGTCTTCCTGAGAATGGCCAAGGGTCCAGAAATGTGTCTTCCGAACACCAAGGTCGCAGGTGGAAATCCAGTAGAGGCATTGGGTACTTCCCGGTAGGCGAATAGTGCTGCAGACAGATACTCGTCCCACCTCTCTGGCTTTTCCTGGGTTAATCTTCTCAGAAGCGATACCAACGTTCCATTGAACCGCTCATTCTGGCCGTTCGCTTGGGGTCGGTATGGACTGGTGCAAATGTGTTGAGACTTGATTATCTGAAACACTTCCTCCATTAGTTTCCCTTTAAACTGAGATCCATTGTCTGTCAGTATCTGCGAAGGGAATCCCACTCTTGTGAAAATGCTCATCAATGCCTCTGCCACAGTCTTACTGTCAATCCTCCGAAGTGCAACAGCCTCCGGATAACCTGAACAACAGTCGACCAAGGTCAATATGTAAGCATTCTTCTTCTTTGTGAGAGGAAGTGGTCCAACCAAATCGACCGCCACCCTTTCAAAAGGTGTGGAGGTGACAGGGGTTTCCCCCAGTCCGACTGGTGCATTCCTGCCTTTGGGAGCTACCTTCTGGCACTCCGGACAGGATTTGACATAACGCATGATATCTGCTGACATACCTGGCCAAAAGTAATGACAGGCAATGCGTTGTGTCGTTGCATGAATTCCCATATGGGCACTATAGGCTATAGTGTGCCCCATCTGGAGAATCTGCTGTCTATATGTTTTGGGTACTACAAGTTGACTGTGCTCTGTATACTTGTCACTTGCCCATCTGTAAAGCAACTTACCTTTCATGAAGAATTCTTTCTTCAAAGGGGGATTGTGACTTGCAGTTAACTTTTTAAAACAGGCCTTAAGGGTTGGGTCATTACTTTGGGCCACCTTAATTTCCTCAGGAAGAGGATTTACATGAGGAGAATCCTCTAAAGCACTTTTATGTTGTGCTCGGGTGGTCACCGCAGCAAGATGCTCTGAAGGTTTCTTCGGCTCTGCTAAAAATACATAAGTAGCGCCAAGAATTAAATCAAAGGTACAGTGTTCGAGCACTGCAGCCTCAATTACCCCCGAGACATAATTTGAACGGACCTTAATCTTAGCAATAGGCAAGTTTAAAGGTTTAGCATCCAATGTGGCACATTGGAGCTCTATGAATCTGCCAGTATACTGATCAGGTTTTACAAACTCTGGCCTCACCACACAGCCGTATGACAAACCACTATCATACAGACAATTTAAAGAATATCCATTAGCCCAGACCCTCTCTACCACAGGAGGCCTATTGGAACCATTGTACAATTGTTCCTGGGTAGAAGGTACTACAGTAGACAACAAAGCTGATACTTGTAAATTCCCTGACTGTTTGGATTTACATTCCTTAGTCCAGTGGTTATTATTCTCACAAATATGGCAGTAAGGCTTTTTAGGGCCATTAAAGGGTTGTCTATGTTGTGTTCCCTGACCTTTTGAGGGGTTCTGGGGTTGTGCTTGGGATGAATTCTTTTTAGGGGATTCATTTGGATGGGTTTTATGACCATTACCATTATTTTTCCCTTGGCCCTGGGCCTTGGGTTTCCCACCTATACACACTTCTTTATGTGCCATCTCATACCTCTCAGCATACATCAACATCTCACTCAGTCTGTCAGCACCATTCTCCGTCAGGAAGGTTTGCATAGGGCGAGGTAATGTCTCTCGGAGTTGTTCCGTTAGGATCATCTCCTGTAAATCTTCAAAAGAAGAGGAGTATCCAGACATTTCCCTCCACCTTGTCAAATATCCCTGAAGGCGACTGGCGAACTGAGGATAGTTCTCCCCTGTCATCTTTCTCTCATTTCTGAACTTCTGTCTGTATGTCGCAGCATTAAGTTCGAAACGTTTCAGTAAAGCCTGACACAATGCATCATAATCAGTCTCAGTACCGGTGGGCATCCGTTGATAAATCTCGTATGCCTCACCCCTCAAACCTTGAGCCAACTTCAGCGTGTACATATTCCTTTCCAAGTTGTACAAAGATGCCAATTTACCAAATCGGTCTAGGTACTGTTCAATATTTTCAGCCTTCGGGTCGAAGACTGGCATAGGAAAGTTCATCGCTTGAGCTGAGCTACTGTGCGTTGATGCACCATCAATATCAGGTGTTGGAGATCTGGGTCTATTACCCTCTCTCTGTGCCTGAAGTTCCAATTCTCTTAACCTCACCTCCTGTTCCAACTTCATTCTTTCTGACTCCTGTTCCAATCTCATTCTTTCTGACTCCCTCTCAGATTCAATTCGGAGTCTTTCGCTTTCCTTCTCTGCCTCAATTCTGAGTCTCTCTGCCTCACGGGCTTCCATCCTCATCTCACGTTCCGTGGTTTTAATCCACTCGGTCATTTCTTTACCCTCCAATCCCATCTGGACAGCCATGTCCTTCAATTCCTGTATGGAAATTTTTGACTGCGACATGCTGTCTTGTCAATCTAACAGTCCACAACAAAATATATTGTCACCAACAATGTAAATATAATCAACAATAGATTAAATTATCACCACCAACCAAGGTTGTACCTAACCCAATGTACTTGACACCACAAAACACCACAATGATTACAAATCACTCCTAGGAGTATACTCTAAGAACTGACCCAGAATGGTCACAACTGTGTTAACAAAAAACAAACACTGAACAACTCCTGGCCAAGATCACCAGCAAATTTAAAGATTGAACAGTGTACAAAACAATCCCACGACGAGACCACAGATTTTTGGGGATATGTTGTTCTGTCACATATCACTCCTGTCGCGTGCCTAATGTAAGGATTCCTCCTTCAGAACCAACAGCACTCAGAGATAATTATGTTGAGTCGTTTGGCTCGTATTGGTCTAAGGGATTCCCCGTGGCCAATATACGCTCAACTTATCTCTGGAGTAGGGCAACTCAAGTATTGGCACTACAAAATATATCAGTATATAAATACAATATTTCTAGGCACACTTGGCTGGACACCCCCACTACTTACTAAAGAAAGCCCCCAGGTTATGATAGTTCATTATCATAACCATGTTAACACATATAATGAAGATACATACACATACAACTGCTAAACACTTAAGAAGGTGACATAGAGAAACCTAAGTCAGCCATGAAAATGAATGCATGTATTTAGTATAATATCTGTACATAAAAAATTGAAGTGAATTCCAGCTATCAGTGAAAGAATCTCAGCACCAATGTCTAGATCCCAAGGAAACTATACAGACAGCCGGTCCTGGAGGTGACTATATGTCATCATTGGAAACAAATGAGCTGTGAGGAAAAAAACAGCATATGGAGCATCAGACTTAGCTTCTATCCTTTCTGTCTATGATGCCTCCTTCAGCTCCGGATGATTCGACTGTCTTTGATTCTGGAAATTCTGCTCCACTGGATCAAATAGTCAGAGAGTACCTCACCATAGAGGACACAATACTGCATTGGTACTTAGCAAGTCTCTATCACCAAGTAGACTATATATTGTTTTTGAGCTACCCTAAGCTCTAGCACTGGTAGGATGTTTGAGGTACCATCTCCCACATGTTGGAGATGTCAGGAACCTTCACAGGTGTTAGCTGATGGGTACAGTTAGTTTAGGGTTGTTTGGTTGGTTGCTGGGTGTTGGTTGGACTGTGAAACTTCTGCCAGCTCCTCACAAAAGATACATCCTGTCAAGAAAATAACTCAACATTAGTCATCACCAAGAGGGTAACATCTTGACAGGAAAGACAGAACAAGCATCAGTCATCAACCCCCATCTGCTGACTCCCCCCTGCTCTCCTGTTTCATTCCTCAGATTGTCTCTCCAGACCAAGAGACATAAGTCTCCTATATTCATCTGTCTGTTTAGTGCAAGAGAAGGCAAGTCAGATATACAGTGGAGATAGATAAAGTGTTCTAACACATATATCACTCTCTCTCCCCCCCCCCCCTTCTGCACACAGACACCAATATTTACTGTTAGTACCTGCCTGCCCCAGATTTCCCAACGCTCGCCCTAGCACTCATTGATCTGGTCAAACACACACATACTTTGATTAACAAAGTCCTGACCCAATTCTGTCCCCATTTGGTATGCACAACTTCTCTAGTTAGTTTAAAACGTACATACTTGTAAGGGTATTAAGTTTTACCAGTATGGGTGGTTTATTGAGGGCATAAGCTATTTAGTCTGTACAGGGGAAGATCTACGTTCGAATCCGCTTCTCTAGCGATCAAGACCGGTCGAACTAAGTGTGATCACACAGCCGATACTGATCTCTCTATAGCAGTGACTACTTTACAGCCATCATTTTAGGTACTCGTAAACTATAATTAACTTACCCAAGCATATGTAAAAACTGAGACATTCCAGATCGCCTAGAAAGATGAAATAATACAGGCATAGATTGACACGTCTGGACGCTAGGAGCCGGCCAGAGAGAATAGCGTCACTTAGACACTTCAGGCGTTGGTGCAAAAAGAAGTCCCTAGTATACATGAGCAAGGAGTAAATCGGTTTCCATGAAACCTCAAATAACTCTCTTCATATATATCGAAGATATATACATTTAAAAGTGGAGTTTAGTTCAAGTAACCAGAAAAGGTAGACATAATAATGTTGTCCAATAAAGGCCTATATATATAGATATAAGGGACTATATATTTCTGGGCGAGTCCAAGTTTGAATTTTGTGCAGATTACAGGTAAGACAGGTTATCAGCCTTACAGACCGATGCGTAATGGCTATCATTTCACGACATTATGCTAATACATCCTCAAGCTGAAAAACCTGGCAATTTTCATCACAAATAGCTTTGAAATAAATACATCTATCTGGTCCCTGGACATTACTGCGCCCAAAACTAGTTAAGAATTAATGGAAGTGAGATGAGGCTATTTATGAAATGGCTAAAACTTACGTGTCGAGTCTGGGAGACAGAAACATCTGGGTTTGAACTGCTGCACTTTCAGGATAAGGAAAGCAAACATGGAGAACAGCAGCGTCAGTACCTGGGTTGCCCTGTTGGGTGTACAAAAGACAGTTCATGTGACTAATAAATCTGGCATGATATCCAATTAGGCAAGCTTATATGACCTCACAAAATCTGGTATGACCTCGGATACCAAATCACATAAGTAGTTCAAGTGGATCAAGAGGTGAAGAAAAGATGCTGGCATTGTATAGGACACATGTTGAGAAAACCAGAATGTATTTGCACTGGAACTCACAGCAGTATAGAAATAAAGAAAGACCAAAAAACACATGGAGAAGGGAGGTAGAGAGTCAAGTTAAAAAGATAGGGAGGACATGGGGTCAGCTGCATACAATAGTGAAGGACAGAATCAGCCTGAGCTAGTTAAGGGCCTATGCTCCATTTGAGGATAGAAGGCAGAAAAAGAAGAAGAATCACAGGCATTCACATGATTTTTTTTAAAAAGTATTTCATGATCTATAATTAAACATGTTAATGTGATATGACAAACTTTATTTCTTACATATGATTACAAAGTTCATATAATGTTTAAAAAAAATATATATATATATATACACAATTTCTGACATCCTCTTTTTCTTCTCCTCTAAAAGGGTGGTTGACACGCTGTGTTGTGGTTGACACGCTGTGTTGTGGTTGACACGCTGTGTTGTGGTTGACACGCTGTGTTGTGGTTGACACGCTGTGTTGTGGTTGACACGCTGTGTTGTGGTTGACACGCTGTGTTGTGGTTGACAGCTAAGCTGCAATATCTGCACCTTTCGGCGGCAACAAATCTAATTTCAACAAACACCTTATTAGTAGATTTTTATGACGTGCTTCTTAGGAGGGCAGTGGTCTATTCTTTTGGCCCCCAAAATGGGGTCCCAGAACCCCCATAGGGATCTGACATCTGTTAACCTAAGCTCACATATTTTTTTTTATCTGACATTATTTCTGACACAAGATTATTCAAAGTCTCATGATATAAAAATGTGGCATCATGTCCGACTATACAACAAACATGTGATATAAACATGTTGCATGATGTCCGACTATACAACAAACTGATGTGATATAAACATGTTGCATGATGTCTGATTGAACAACAAACTGATGTGATATAAACATGTTGCATGATGTCTGATTGAACAACAAACTGATGTGATATAAACATGTTGCATGATGTCTGATTGAACAACAAACTGATGTGATATAAACATGTTGCATGATGTCTGATTGAACAACAAACTGATGTGATATAAACATGTCGCATGATGTCTGATTGAACAACAAACTGATGTGATATAAACATGTTGCATGATGTCTGATTGAACAACAAACTGATGTGATATAAACATGTTGCATGATGTCTGATTGAACAACAAACTGATGTGATATAAACATGTTGCATGATGTCTGATTGAACAACAAACTGATGTGATATAAACATGTTGCATGATGTCTGATTGAACAACAAACTGATTTGATATCAACATGTGGCATAGTCTCTGACATCTGATTATACAATCTCTCATGATATAACATCTTTTGTGAACTCTGATTACATAATCCATGTACATGATTAAAAAGACACACAAAAAACAGGCATGATTTTAAGAAAGCGGCGTCGGTGGCTTAGGCGTTGCAAGTCCGACTCGTAATTCCAACGTACCGCGATCGAAACCCATTGCTGGCTGCGTGGATTTTATCATGGTATTGGTGTCCCAGGTCGACCTAGCCTAAAATGGGTACCAGGATGGCTTTCCTGGGGAAGTAAAGATGGCCGGCGTAATGCAGACCACATTTCCCACCTAGTGCCGATTGGTCGGTAAAAATATGGGTGCTCTTTCCATATGTCTGACGCTCCTAAAGGCATGAAAAGGAATCTTAACTTTATTATGATCTTAAGAAAAGGGTAATTAACTACACTTACTTCGGCCAGGTACGCTGGAAGATCTGAGAAATTTTCTTCCAACCTCACTAGAACATTGGCGGTGCCTAGTCCTCTCTGTTCAGAGTGGGAAGAACATGTGAAGAAAAGATTTCAAACAAAGTAATCTTACAGACAAATGAAACATGAATGTTCACCACAATGTACGATCACTTTTGCATGTCGTTTACAGAATGTTGTAGAACAAACTCCCCTCCTCCACATTTTCTGGCTGTTGTGATTTTTGTCGGCAAATTTACGTTCGGTAGTTTGCTGCTACTTACTGAATGGTCAGCTCTCGATACAACGGTCTGCTGCTAAATTGCCTGCAGCTGAGATCGAAGCCAGCATCCGGCATTACAAAGCTTGTTTGCAATGCCAAAGTCACAGATGCTGACATTAAAATATCAAATTTTATGGTGCAAAGATATGCGCTTGACCCGGATGTGGAAGATATGTCATGAAGTTACGCCCTTTCTAAAACATTTGTGCTCAGTATGTCCCTGTTGTCTTTGACACAAATTTGTCACCATACACTGCCTGTTTTCTTTGATAAATGTCTGCTGGTTGACATTTCTAACTAAAGCTGAATCACTGCTCTGTGAGCTTCTTTGGATGGATTTCGGATCAACTCTGCCATTTTCTTAATGGTCAGAAACATAACCTATGCATCATGGAGCAAGAAGTACAAGCTCTCTTATTCACTGGTCAGTATTTTTATCATATTATTATGACATGATCATGTTCGTCACACGCAATTTTGCGTAATGCTGCAAGAAAGGGCTGCAAATTAATGCTCCTTATATTATGCCTGACAATACTTTTTTTTTAAAATGAATTTTAATGTTCAAAATTTCATTTATATTATTTTGCATATATCCTCTGGAGGTGCAACTGGTTGAGTTATTAGAATACTGGCTTTTATGCAGAAGGGCACCCTACCTTGTATATCACGGTCCAGAATGTGTGAAGGTCTAACACTTTATACCCCAACGGAAGTATCTGCTGTGGATACCTTTACTTTCTTTATTTATTCCCCGACGTCTGCTTCTTTCTCTTTTACAACCATGTTACCATGTTTATTAGTCACTCCATCTATTTATTACTTTCCCTAACCTGCATTGTTCCACAGTTGTTGAATCAAAACACTTGTAATCTTTTTTTTTTTTATCACAGCAATCCTCCCTTAAAAGAAACTCACTTAAGAAGAACACTCAGGTAACATGAACACAAATTTGGTCTCGGTCGAGATGTATCATTTCTTGTAGAAAACTTTATCGGTTAATGCTAATTTCTATTATCATGAATTAGAAATATTTTTTTGCTAGTCCACTACATCAATAGATCTCATTTAACCCAAACTTCCTAAGCCATTCAAAATATTTTTGTCTCTGTTTTTCCTCTGCCAGGTATGTGATAAGTGAAGTTAAAGCCCTACTAGGCCACTCAATGATTACATTTACTAAAAATAGCATGCAGAAGATATCTTTGTGAGCAACTGGCTAGAAAGAGAATATTTTAATTAAGTAACATGTCTGCGACAGTAAGATTTAATGACCCCTTGTATTGAGAGAGAGTTTCACCACTACAAAACCTACCTCTTTCTTGTTGATGACAACCTGCAGACTATCACTACAAAACCTACCTCTTTCTTGTTGATGACAACCTGCAGACTATCACTACAAAACTTACCTCTTTCTTGTTGACGACAACCTGCAGACTACCACTACAAAACCTACCTCTTTCTTGCTGACGACAACCTGCAGACTACCACTACAAAACCTACCTCTTTCTTGCTGACGACAACCTGCAGACTACCACTACAAAACCTACCTCTTTCTTGCTGACGACAACCTGCAGACTACCACTACAAAACCTACCTCTTTCTTGTTGACGACAACCTGGAGACTACCACTACAAAACCTACCTCTTTCTTGTTGACAACAACCTGCAGACTACCACAACAAAACCTACCTCTTTCTTGTTGACAACCTGCAGACTATCACTACAAAACCTACCTCTTTCTTGTTGACGACAACCTGGAGACTACCACTACAAAACCTACCTCTTTCTTGTTGACGACAACCTGCAGACTACCACTACAAAACCTACCTCTTTCTTGTTGATGACAACCTGGAGACTACCACTACAAAACCTACCTCTTTCTTGTTGACGACAACCTGCAGACTACCACTACAAAACCTACCTCTTTCTTGTTGATGGCAACCTGGAGACTACCACTACAAAACCTACCTCTTTCTTGTTGACGACAACCTACAGACTATCACTACACAGCCTACCTCTTTCTTGTTGACAACCTGCAGACTACCACTACAAAACCTACCTCTGTCTTGTTGACGACAACCTGGAGACTATCACTACAAAACCTACCTCTTTCTTGCTGACGACAACCTGCAGACTACCACTACAAAACCTACCTCTTTCTTGTTGACGACAACCTGGAGACTACCACTACAAAACCTACCTCTTTCTTGTTGATGACAACCTGGAGACTACCACTGCAAAACCTACCTCTTTCTTGTTGACGAAAACCTGGAGACTACCACTACAAAACCTACCTCTTTCTTGTTGACGACAACCTGGAGACTACCACTACAAAACCTACCTCTTTCTTGTTGACGACAACCTGCAGACTACCACTACAAAACCTACCTCTTTCTTGTTGACGACAACCTGCAGACTACCACTACAAAACCTACCTCTTTCTTGTTGATGGCAACCTGGAGACTACCACTACAAAACCTACCTCTTTCTTGTTGACGACAACCTGCAGACTACCACTACAAAACCTACCTCTTTCTTGTTGACAACCTGCAGACTATCACTACAAAACCTACCTCTTTCTTGTTGACGACAACCTGGAGACTACCACTACAAAACCTACCTCTTTCTTGTTGACGACAACCTGCAGACTACCACTACAAAACCTACCTCTTTCTTGTTGACGACAACCTGGAGACTACCACTACAAAACCTACCTCTTTCTTGTTGACGACAACCTGCAGACTACCACTACAAAACCTACCTCTTTCTTGTTGACAACCTGCAGACTATCACTACAAAACCTACCTCTTTCTTGTTGACGACAACCTGGAGACTACCACTACAAAACCTACCTCTTTCTTGTTGACGACAACCTGCAGACTACCACTACAAAACCTACCTCTTTCTTGTTGACGACAACCTGGAGACTACCACTACAAAACCTACCTCTTTCTTGTTGACAACCTGCAGACTATCACTACAAAACCTACCTCTTTTTTGTTGACAACCTGGAGACTACCACTACAAAACCTACCTCTTTCTTGTTGACGACAACCTGCAGACTACCACTACAAAACCTACCTCTTTCTTGTTGACGACAACCTGGAGACTACCACTACAAAACCTACCTCTTTCTTGTTGACAACCTGCAGACTATCACTACAAAACCTACCTCTTTTTTGTTGACAACCTGGAGACTACCACTACAAAACCTACCTCTTTCTTGTTGACGACAACCTGCAGACTACCACTACAAAACCTACCTCTTTCTTGTTGACGACAATCTGCAGACTACCACTACAAAACCTACCTCTTTCTTGTTGACGACAACCTGCAGACTACCACTACAAAACCTACCTCTTTCTTGTTGACGACAACCTGCAGACTATCAGGGCTCATTTCCAGCAATGAGCCCATATGCCTCTGCAGAACCAGGTTTGTGCCTGCCCTCTTCAGCTGATATTCCTTGTAAAACTCCAGTAATTCAACCAACACTGCAGCCAAACTCTCACTGTTCTGCCAGTCCCAGCAAACAAAGCTCTGGAGGAAACAATTATCTTGGCTTCAGAATTCCAAAACATTTCAATCTGCATTCCAGCATTCACACAGATATTAGACTTCTTCTACTCTAGTCCTGTTCTGCCTTTCAGGATCAGGTTTTGAAGAGGCGTCAGGTGCGAATCCTGGTATGTGCTAAGTAGATGCTGGCATTTAACGCCTAGGATATTTCATCTATCCATTACGTGTGTAGTCAACCTCTTGTCCTGTTTCCATTATGTTTAAGTAAAAGAGCTCTCTGTGGTGCACTATCTAGTGGTAGTTTTGACACACATCCGAAACATGTGAGATCATTTTCCGTAAGTATCAGTCTAATTTTTCTTCTTATTGTTTCTTTTAGCAAGAAATAACCCACTACCAGCTATCTGGGCCCGTCGCAGTTGAATGGTGTTTTTAACCAGATGGATCCCATCCCACATGGTGAGCCAGAGCCCTGTTAGTCTGGGACCGTGTGATCAAGAGGTCATTATTTAATGATGCTATAGTCTCAGGGCATTTGATACATTTGAAGTAAGATCCATTTTAAGGCCTTTTCCTGCCTTTTGGCACAATAGGTCTATAGGGCTAGACCTACAATTTTATAGACCAAAAGGACACTTGATGGTGATGTGCTCAACAAGTCTTTACTTCCCATGACATTACTCGGGCACTCAGTTTAGGCTGGGTCGACCCTGGAGCTAAGGTCAATTTTGAAAGAAAAAATATCCACCTCAATATGGATTCAAACCCAAGACCTTTAGGCTGGCAAAGTGTCTGTCTCGCAACAGCAAGATCAAAATATATAAAACGTTGATAAGACCAGTCATTTTATATGATTCTGAAACTTGGAGCACAACTAAAAGAGATGAAGCCTTATTACAGGTTTTCGAAAACAAGAGTCTTACGACGAATCTTTGGACCCATCAAAGATGCAAACAGTGGTGAATGGAGAGAGAGAAGCAACAATTTTTATTTTTTTTATTTTTTTATCGATCACCGGCTGTGAATTCCAGTGGAAGGTCAGGTTAATCGTCCGCTTGGACTTTTGGCTTTCACCTGGACCTGATTTTTGCGTGTACAACCGTTTTTCATTTTCCTGCCTCATGGGCAGCTGTACTCCGACTTCGAAGGAAGACGTCAGGCCTATTTCTAGGTTGACTGTGGCCATTGTTTTGTGTGGGTCGAGACGTTGCCTGATTTGTGTGGTGTCCACTTTGTCTCCTTCGCCGCAGGTATTGCCCTCGGAGTACCCCTTTGGGGCAGCTCCCTGTGGAACAGTTAGCCCTCAAGGGAAGGCAGGGGCAGATCATGGGCATTCCCCACCATCCAAGGAGGCTTCCATGCATGCAGAGCCGGCACATGGCGCTCTGGTTCTGGGCTCACCCAAGGAATCGTCACGTCCTGCACATGCCTGCTTAACCTCACAACCGTATCAGGCCTCCCGCTCGACAGGGGCTGCGCCCTCTGGAAGTCATCGGGGAGCAGCCCGTGGGTTTTGGACTTTTGTGACCACACAGATAGGTACATTTTTTTTCTTCGCACGTTAGATTTCTTTGACGAGCCGTTAGCCCGACAGAATTTTACATCCTGCATCAGGCATATCGTTATCAGTTTTGTCCCAACACTCGGGCGAGTGGGGTCTTTGGGTGTGGACATTCGGTCTTTTTCAGTACAATACAAATTTTGATGGTCAGATTTTGATCCGTATGATCTAGTTTTGTCGGACAATTAGCCATCCGATGGATGGTTGCTGTTGTGGTGTACCTCAGCGCGGTGACGACGACACTGAGGGTTAACCGAGGATGTACAAGGATGGCCAGCCTATGGATGGTTGCTGTTGTGGTGTACCTCAGCGCGGTGACGACGACACTGAGGGTTAACAGAGGATGTGCAGTGAACAATGTTCTCTTTACTCCGCAGTCTTTTAACCAAGGGTTGTAATTTTTGCTGTACGTTTGGCAAACCTACTCATGTTCCTAATGAGTTTTGATAACATTTTTCACCCAAGCGTTTGGGGGCGGGCTGATGAGAGCCACAAGGACACATCACCTCTGGGGGCCGCCAAACTCCGAGATCCCCTGACGGCTCTGTTAATGCTCATTTGAGACATTATCCGTGGCGCACGACGAGGACGTGCTGTAGGGGTCTTGCGTGAGGTTCCGTACAACCAGGATAGTAAAGGACCGAGTGACGTACGGAGTATCTCCTTATACACATCATGTTGGACTTAACTTCCCCTCACGCCTGTGACATAAATCACCGCGCCACAGAAGCAACAATGAAATTCATATGTTTAAATCCCCACTGATCACTGGCATCATGAGAGCTAACAGACTGAAATGGTTGGGGCATATTTAAAGAATGTCAGATGACAGAGAAGTAAAAACTGTATACACAAGGGAGATGAATGGTCGTAGACCACGAGGCAGACCAAGAAAATTATAGAGAGATAATATCCAATCAGACCTGAAAACACTTGGTGTCATCAATTGGAAAGAGAAGGCCAACCAGAGAGATGAATGGAGGCAAGTGATATCCGCAGCAATGAACCTCAAAGGCTCGGAATGCGGAAGAAGAAGAAGAATATTTTGGATTCACACATAAGAGATAATCAATCACACACTGCTTGGAACTAAAAGTGTGACCCCAAAATGGAGCCTCGGAACCCACACAGAAATGTTCATCTTATACACGCAAAAATATGGCATAAGTTTGATGTTACTGACAGTATATTCAATTCCCCACAGACCCACTTTCCTTAACAAGCATGTTGTAACAGGCGACCAATCAGAGTCTTGCAGAAACTGGATGTGTGCAGAAATGATGGCTGACCTGTAAACCGCTGACATTTTAAAGGTGGACGCAGAAGAAGAATGTGCATTATAGCACTTCAACACATTTTTGTGCATTTTACCACTTCAATTCTTGTTTGTGCATTACACCACTTCAATTCTTGTTTGTGCATTACACCACTTCAACGCTTGTTTGTGCATTATACAACTTCAACTCTTGTTTGTGCACTATAATACTTCAACACTTGTTTGTGCATTGTAATAATTCAACTCTTGTTAGTGCATTATACCACGTCAACACTTTTGTATGCATTATACCACTTTAACTCTTGTTTGTGTATTGTAATAATTCAAATCTTGTTTGTGCATTATACCAATTCAAAACTTTTTTGTGCATTATACCACTTCAACTCTTTTTTTGTGCATTATGCCACTTCAACTCTTGTTTGTGCATTATGCCACTTTAACTCTTTCTTTTTGTAATCTGTCACAGTGCCATCATTACCATTCTATGGGCTAAGTAGAAATAGTAAGTAAAGAAAATGGCCCTTTTCCACACCTTCAGACGTATTGGGCATATAGGGCTAGACATATTTTACAGACCAATCAGCACTGGGTGGGTTATGTAGTCAGCATCATGCTGGCCGCTTTTACTTCTCTGGACTTTACCTGGTACCCACTCAAGACTGGCTCAACATGACCGCCAAGGTCATTTCTAAAAAAAAAAAGTATGACCCCGTCACGTCCCAAACCTTCTGATCCGCAGGTGAGATTCTAGCTGCTACATCACAGCAGCAGGTAGAATAGCTTGACAGGTAGAATAGCTTGACAGGTAGAATAGCTTGACAGGTAGAATAGCTTGACAGGTAGAATAGCTTGACAGGTAGAATAGCTTGACAGGTAGAATAGCTTGACAGGTAGAATAGCTTGACACAAAATACTTTTTTTTTAAACAAAAATTGGCACCTGAAATGTGAAATCAGAGCCAGATTCCCCTCAAATGCCAAGGATTATAATTGCAGCAGGAAAAGATCAGGGCCTGGGAGTCATGACCCAGGTTGGTCCACCCTCTGAAGTTATCTAGGAGGTTATGGGCCAAAACAATTGTTGACGAGGGATCTTCTACTCTGATGATTGGTAGATAGACCCCTGCTGTACATGCTCCCCTGTGGAGTTCTTCTTATTATTGCAATAAATAATAACGAACCCACTGTGCAATAATAAAAAAAGAATAACACAAAACAAAGTCAATATTAAAAATGACTTACATTGATCTGTTCCAAAGGAGGACAAAAATCATCGTCTTCTTGATCAAATATAAAATCTGGAGGCTCTTTCAAATTTGCAGAATCAAAGATAACTTCCCCTGTTAAATACAATATTTGTAAACATTAATGCAGAATAACGATAAACAAAGCAAGTAAACTAATTATTTAAATAAATCTGTTACAAGCTGCAGTGCCATAGTAGCTAATATGCTTGTATAAAAAGCTAGATATTGTAAGAGCCCCTTGGAAGCGAGGAAACAGTGCAGAGGCACAGAGAGATCTGAAGAGAGTGCAGTAAGGAGCCCAGAGGGAAGCTGGCCGAGGCTCAATATTTAAGGGTGGAACATGATGGATACACAATGAGACTGTTGCTGCTACTCTGTGCTTGCTACTGAAGATGGGGACAGAGCGTTTACAAAAATATCCAGAATGCTACGATGTCAGATCTTAACTCACAGTTAATATGCTAATCTGCTAAGATAATGATCTAGGTTCAATTGTATGGCTTTAAAGTAATGCTGGTTTAGTGTGAAAGGAAGGATGGTGTGGTGCTGACCTTTTGTTCATTTCCTCGTGTAATCTTCTTCTTCTTTTCTCTACTCCCAGAAAGCCTTGCAGCACCTGGCCAGAAAGAGATCTCTGGAACAGGCCCTTCTGTTCATTTCGTATACTTTTCAGTGTCTCTGATATTTCTACTGTCCATCTTCTGCTAGGTCGACCTCTGAATCTGTTACCGCTGTATCTGTATAACCAACTTCTCTATGTGCCCTTGTGTTACAAACTGTTATATTATGTTATCACAATCAACATCACTACAAACTGGGCCATGTGTGCTCAGTCTCTCATCAAGCACACATTTAAAGGTTCCTCTACTGATTTATCCTTTGATAAGTTGGTTATGATGTTTCCTTATCCGCAATTAGCCATAATACTGACATATTTAAACATTTAAAAGCTACACCCAGCAGTTTATTTATAGCATGTAAATCTTTTATCTGTATGCTTATCAAGGGCAAACGAGAATAATAATTTCTCAAGAACGAGCTGAAGAACCTCAAAGCTGGCTTCAAGGCAGAAGGGCATTTAACAACATTCATACCAGTTTTCAAATGACATACCCCTGACACAGCATACGAGTAGTTATATAACAAGGAAAAAAAAAAGCACAAAGTAATTTAAAATTTTTTTTATTAAAATTAAAAAAAAAAAATTAAAGAAAGCTGACAGGAAAACTGGGTACATAACAAGTAAGAGAAAGCTGGTGAATAATATTTAGAAACAGATAATAAAAGAAGCTGCATAAATTATTAGACAAAAACTGATAGGAAAAGCTAGAAATATACTATATTTACATGTGTATAGGCTGCACAATTTTTAAAAATTTGTTCATGAAAAATGGGGTGTAGCTTATACTTGAGACATTAGGTCTACATGTCACTTATACACAATTTATTATTAATTATTAAATTTGGAAAGGTACCTTGTGAAAACAATACCAGTAACTGACTCCCATTTTGCACTGATAACAACTATCAGTTACTCACTATAGTCCACACTCTATTATACCAGCCATTTTGTGCTGTCTTCAGTGTTGTGCATCGCATCTGAGGTGAAAATGAAACTCTTAGTGACCATTACATTTCATACGAGATTCCATGCAGCCATGATCCACTCAGGAACTGAGATAATTAGGTTTTCTTCAAATGTACGGTTGGAGTCACTTCCACTGAACTCAATTTCCAGTCGCAACAAAAATACACAAATCTTAAAGTCTGTTAATGGAAACAGCAAGTGTTTGTAACATGCCAGTCATCCCTCCTGGTATCTCAACCAAATTACATGTGTCTTGCTGTAACATCTACTTTTATTTGTTAAATGGCCTGAGAAACTATCCAAGATTAGTACGGACCTGTGACGTAACCTGTGCGTATAACACACTACTTGCAACTTAAATTTACAACTGTAACTTGCTCTTACATGACCCATCTTTTACTGCTTATGCTTACTACTGTTTCAGTTTTTCAATGAAATTCTAAGAAAATTAATTACAACCCACCTTTTCAGGCTCAGAAAGAGTGACTTCCCTTCCCATTCATAAATTGTGGCATATTGCGGGGGTGTCAAGCTTAGTGACCAGCCTACAACATGCAGCATATTACTAGCTAGTTTTTGTCACCGGCCGACGATATCACATGTTCTATATTACAGGATATGAGCACTTCCCGAAACATACAGAAGTGGATGTAGGCTGCACTCTCTCGTGAGACATAGGCTGCACTTTCTCATAGGACATAGGCCGCACTCTCTCGTGGGACATAGGCTGCACTCTCTTATGGAACCTATGTTACACTCTCTCAAAGGACATAGGCTGCACTCTCTCGTAGGATGTGGGCGGCTTGGGTTAGGGCCAGTTCTGCCTGTTTCGGGACTGTTAATAGCACTTACATCTTGTAATACAGAACATGTGATATCGCCGGCTGGTGACAACTTGAAAAATGCTGTGTGATGTTGGCCGCTCAATAATCTTGACACTCCCGCAACATAGCACAAGCCTTGCGACATGGCAATTTATGAATGGGAAGAAAAGTCACTCTCTTTCTGGGCTAAAAAATGTGAGATGTACCAAAAATCCCCTTCCCCACCCCACCCCCCTAAAAGAAAATTACTGCCTTAGAAACTGGGTGTGGCCTATACACACGTAAATACAGTAAGTCAGAGAAAGTGACAAAAGCTGAGTAGTTAAAAAGTCAGAGAAAGTGACAAAGGCTGAGTAGTTAAAAATACAGAGAAAGTGATAGAAGTTGGTAAGTCAAAAAAGTCAGAGAAAGCTGACAAAAGTTGGGTAGTTAAAAAGACTGAGAAAGCTGACAGAAGTTGGGTAGTTAAAAAGGCAGAGAAAGTGATAGAAGTTGGGTAGTTAAAAAGACGGAGAAAGCTGACAGAAGTTGGGTAGTTAAAAAGCAGAGTAAGCTGACAGAAGTTGGGTAGTTAAAAAGACTGAGAAAGCTGACAGAAGTTGGGTAGTTCAAAAGCAGAGAAAGCTGACAGAAGTTGGGTAGTTAAAAAGGCAGAGAAAGTGATAGAAGTTGGGTAGTTAAAAAGCAGAGAAAGCTGACAGAAGTTGGATAGTTAAAAAGCAGAGAAAGCTGACAGAAGTTTGGTAGTTAAAAAAGCTGACAGAAGTTGGTAGTCAAAAAGTTAGAGAAAGCTGACAGAAGTTGGGTAGTTAAAAAGGCTGACAGAAGTTGGTAGTCAAAAAGTTAGAGAAAGCTGACAGAAGTTAGGTAGTTAAAAAAGCTGACAGAAGTTGGGTAGTCAAAAAAGCAGAGAAAGCTGACAGAAGTTGGGTAGTCAAAAAAGTTAGAGAAAGCTGACAGAAGTTGGGTAGTCAAAAAAGCAGAGAAAGCTGACAGAAGTTGGGTAGTCAAAAAAGCAGAGAAAGCTGACAGAAGTTGGGTAGTCAAAAAAGCAGAGAAAGCTGACAGAAGTCGGGTAGTCAAAAAAGCAGAGAAAGCTGACAGAAGTTGGGTAGTCAAAAAAGTTAGAGAAAGCTGACAGAAGTTGGGTAGTCAAAAAAGCAGAGAAAGCTGACAGAAGTTGGGTAGTCAAAAAAGTTAGAGAAAGCTGACAGAAGTTGGGTAGTCAAAAAAGCAGAGAAAGCTGACAGAAGTTGGGTAGTCAAAAAGTTAGAGAAAGCTGACTGAAGTTGGGTAGTCAAAAAAGCAGAGAAAGCTGACAGAAGTTGGGTAGTCAAAAAAGTTAGAGAAAGTTGACAGAAGTTGGGTAGTCAAAAAAGCAGAGAAAGCTGACAGAAGTTGGGTAGTCAAAAAAGCAGAGAAAGCTGACAGAAGTTGGGTAGTCAAAAAAGCAGAGAAAGCTGACAGAAGTTGGGTAGTCAAAAAGGTTAGAGAAAGCTGACAGAAGAAACTGAATAATAAGCAAGTCTACCCACAAGTAAGACTTTGTTGTGCGTATGGAATCTTCAGCTTGAACCTGTCACATCTGTTTCCCACAGCAGTCGACTGACTCAGGCATCTAGGATAAAAGATAATTTATTTACAATGTAAACATAATAATTAATTTACAAGCTTCTCTTTGTATGCTAATAGGATGCAGAGGCACTGAAGGGTGCAGGTAGATAGTGACCAAATGGGTACCACAGGCAAAAGATTCACAATAGTGGTGGGGTGTTTTGAAGCCACTGATAAACTCAAGACTTCTTTTTCATGTTCACCGACTCTAAACTCCGGCAGAAAGTCCTGCTTCTGGACCTTAATTCTGTTCCAGGACTTGAGTTTTTTATGCTAATCCATTTTATGGATGTAGCTTATTTCTGAGCAGACTGTTGGTTCCTTGCCTCTCAGACACTATTGAAGAAATACGCATCAGTAAATTCATTGGTTTTGAAGTTTTTACAATATGGCTATTCAAAGAGAACCATGCCACTGCCACCTCTGTTGGGTTGACCAGTGCACCAGCTTCACCACACCAATAGCTTATGCGATTGAGCTCTTTTTGTAGTTCAACAACCTTCTCTCTACCCTTGCCCTGATAATACACTAGCACATCATCAGCATATGATAGTGTTCTTCCCGGTCCTGTGATTTGCTCGCCCGTGATATTCCCTGGGTATATGTTAAACAGCACAGGAGATAATGGCGATCCTTGTGACAGGCCGGGATGAATTGTTGTTAGTTCAGAGGTCCAACTGCCACATCTAAACACTACTTTTCGTTGAAAGAAGGTGGAAGAGATCCAATGAAGGAGGAATGGACTTATTTGGAGTTCAAGAAGCTGAAACATTAAGAAATCCAAAGGTACTCTGTTGTACGCATCCTTGAGATCAATTGCAGCAGCACACGTTTCTATACCTAAGTGGAAGTCTTCATACACATCAAGAGCAAAAACCGCAGCGTTGGTCCATGTTTCTTTCTTTGGATAGAACCCTCCAAGAGTAGGTGGAAGAAGACCTCGCCTCTCAAGCTAGTGTGACATTTTTCTGGCGATGATCTTTTCCAACAGCTTGCTTACAATACTGGCAAGGAACTGGCAATTAATGCAACACTGCATACAGGAAGAAGCATGGACAGAGCAGACATCCTCAATGCTGTATGGACTGGGCTAATGGATAATAATGAATCTCTTTAACATGATTACGTGACCAGGGAGTAAAGCATGGTGAAGCATGTCTATGCTGCCTTCAACACAGAGATAAGAGACGTTATAACCAGCTCCTCAAGGAAACAATCAATAGAGGTTCTTCAAGTGGCTGCTGCCTCAGAAGGCTGAACATGCTTGGCAAAGCCCAATATAGCCAATCTTGATGTACTGAAGTAAATCATGGACAGTTCAACCCATTATACATTTCGTGGAAGGACTATAGATGTAATTTAATAGGCAAATATTGAGAACACTATGGATATTCCTTCTTCTTGATTCATCTTTATAAAAAGGTAGTTGGCACACTGTATTGTGAATTAGTTAGGCCGTGATATCTGCACATTTCAGCCTAACACATTTCTCTGATGTCAGCAAATCCTTAATGAATAACCTTTTAGGACATGCTTGTTAGGCTGGCAGTGGGTCTAGTACTGAACCCCCCCCCCCCCCAATAGTGTCCCAGAACCCACGATGGGAATTATGGACATAGCAAGAGTAATGAAGATGTCTTAAAAGGAAATAAACTCTTAAATAAAACCAATTACCCACATCAGAGAGAGAGAAAATAAAATGATAAATCCTAAATGTAACTGAAAGAGACAAGATCAGAAATTATGACATTAGGAAAGAAGTTAGGATGGAACTGGTACTAAACTACATTACGAGACAACAGATCAATTGGTTTGGTCATGTATCAAGACCATCACCAGATACTGCACCACTGAGAGCCCTGTCAGACATGATGGAAGCAGACTAGAGGTTGACCATGTAAGTGATGGATAGATGTTATATCCAAGGTCGTAAATACCACCACTTACGTAGCACATACCAAGGCTCTCACCCGATGTCTCTCCAAAACCTGATGTTGAAATGCAGTACTACAGAAGAAGAACAAGATGAGGAAGAAAAAGATAATTCACACTGTTTGATCAAATTGTGAGGAGGACATTGGAACACATCGTGGAAGTTTTAAAGCTGGAGGAGAAGAGAAGCAGCAGGTAACCAAGACAGAAGATTCTGGAGTTTGGCATCATGACATGAAAGATTAGCTGTGCCAGAAATGACAAAGTCCATGAGAAGGCTGTGAAGAGAAATCACTATCAACACCACACGGCATGGACTATAAGAAAAAGACAGTCACAATTTATTATTACCCAGAACTTGCATCTGTAATAAGAACTGGTTCATTTGCTATGCTGAGCCTGCTGATGTCTTGTGTTAGCAAGTACTTAACGTATGGCTTGATTCCAGCATTCAAAGAATGTAGTGAATCAAGGCAGCTAGGTATCATCTTTCTAGCTGCCGTCACGAACTGTTAGACTGAAACAATTTCACATTCACTATTATAATATTAATTATATCGCATTTTAAATATATTTGTATCCCAATAATGTACCATGTGTGATCAGCTGTTATCTGTGTATCAAATGATGTATAATGTGCTATTATGTCTATTACTTCTGGTATCATCATCATCATCATCAGGTGCCTTGCCGACTGGCGTAGGCGAACTTCTGGTATAGGCATTTAAAAAAAAATATGGTGAGATATTTTAACACTCTGCACAGTACATGATATCTCTTTGAAAGTGTTAAACTTGTACCATCTTTCACTGTGGTTTACATTTCCTTTAATATTTCTGTTGTGAAATTTAGAATTTAAAGAGTTATCCAAACTTGTGGAGAAATGTGTCCTGTTTTTGTGACAGGTCTACCTTCTTTATTCTTAACGGCGTACTACAGGTTTCTTTCTCACTTAGTCTGAATTTGACCCTTTGATGTGTATTTGGTCTGTAAGAATAGCCTCGTGGTGGCCAGAAGGAGCTGAGTTCAGAATCAGCATCATTACACTCGGAACATTTCCATCTTCAGTAGGCAGTGCAGAGTTGTGAATCTGTAGCAATCTGACTGGATGTCCATCTTGTCTTTCCCCTGAGCTGGCCAGATCCTCTGGTAACTCCCAGTGGCACCATTTTTTCAGACTGTGATGACTCATTTGGGCCTCTCTACTGTTCACTTGCTCCCAAAGAGCCTTGATAACATCTATCTTATCATTCATCAGATTACCACCAAGTGGTGCGGAATCAGCTAATATATCTGCCTGTTCCTCTCTTAACACATCTGCATATCCTGGAGAAAATATCCAAAAGATGTTAAGTACTGGAGAAGTATGACGTGATGCTTGCCACTAGGCATGAAGAATACCAGTCTCCACCTTTCTCGGGATACTTTGTGAGTCTGCTAATCATGACATGTGTGTGCAACTTCTATAGTGATGCTTACAATGATGAATTTCAACAAGCAGTGTAAGGCATTAGACATCTCTCTCTCTCTCTGTCTCTGTCTCCCAGACACAAGCATACGAGTACAAACTGCAAGGAATGTTATGAACCTGAAATGGGCTATTTGTACCAATTGTGTGCCCCAAGAAGCCGAAAAACCATCACTTTTAGTTCAAGCCAATCGCCCATAAATGTCACTTTTCTAACTTGTCTATAGTGACCTGTCTATGAGACCTACAGTTAATGCTATTAGCTGTGCTTATGGTTGTCCAAACATTTATGAGGTAAGAATGTGAATATTTTCAATAAAAATAGAGGTGATGTGGGGGAGCCTTCAAATGAAATGCTTTTTTATAGCCAAGTAGATGTCAAATTGTCCCGTAAGCCTCAGTGATGAGTGCAGTCACTGGGTCACTGCATAAGTTACCTGATAAATATATTGTTTAGGCCCCAGGGATTGTATTTCTTTTAATGTTCCCTATATTCATGTTTACTGATTACTTCTTTTATATAGTCATATTTTTCAGGAAAAAGTAATGTACATAAACACAATTTTCACAAATGTAGCAGTGAGCTGGGTAACATTTTTATTTTCAAGGGTTTGGATGGGGTCATGACCCACTTTTAGAGCTACCAAGGCAAACAGATTAAAGGCAAACAGATTAAAGGCAAACCGATTAAAGGCAAACAGATTAAAGGCATACTTGTGGAGATTTGTGTGCTAAAGAGAAGTATAAAAATGTTTTTGTTTGTTTGATTTCAACAGAAGTTATTTTACCCTCGACATTTAAACACAATTTTAAAAATCACTTAATAATTATTTAAACATGTGAATGAAGAATTGACATCACAGTGGGACATTCCCATAAAAGCTTCCTCCCTATCTTCAGCAGCATGCACAGTTCCAGTTCCAATGGTACCAGTAGCAGTCTGACTCTATGTCCTTCCTGCTTTTCCCTTTAGTTTTTATTTTTAGCACTGATCAGATCCGCTGGTCACTTCTCGCAGTACCATTTCATTTAAAAATAAAACAAATCATCCTCGCTGTCTCATTCATCATAATCTTGATGTGCATTAAATTCATTAACTCTTTGAGTCCCAGCGGGTTTAGCATCACAGGCCCAAGGGGTAGTCAAGAGAGACGTAAAATCAGCGCATCATGCGTTCATTGAGCTTCTAAGTAGGAATCTATGAACGTATGATGCATTCCTTGGGACTCAAAGAGTTAATGTCACGAATGGCTTCTAATCTATTTCATTCATCCATTCCGTTATATCCTGTGTAATCCTTTTTATCATGAATGGAAATCTTCTTCTTCTTTGCGTTCACCAGCTGTAAACTCTGGTGGAAAGTTCTGGTTGTTCGTCCACTTCTGGACTGCAGTCCTTTTCCAGAACCTGATTGTTGCGTGTGCATCCGTTTGACAGATCTGACACATTTGAGTGTCGACTGTTGGTTCCTTGCCTCTCAGGCAGATGCACTCCGACTTCGAAGGAAGCTCCCAATTAGTCGACTCTTACGACATGCTTTTGGGCAGGCAGTGGGTCTATTCTTGTTTTCCCTATAATAGGGCCCCGGAACCCACACAGGGGATGAATGGAAATGTTGTTTACGTTCATCAGCCGTAAATACCTGGTTGTTCCTCCATTCCTGGACCTGATTTTTGCGTGTGCATTTGTTCATTTACAGATTTTGCTTATTTGTTTGCAGCGTTGGTTGCTTGCCTTTCAGGCTGATGCACTCTCACTCACTGACTTCAGAGGAAGCCGCTAATTAGTCGACTCTTACGACATGCTTTTTGGGGAGGCAGTGGGTCTATTCTTGTTTTCCCCGCAGTGGAACCCCGGAACCCACACGGAGAAGATAGTCATAGTAGTTTAGTTACTCATAGTGTCTCATAGTTATAGAAATAAATAAATAAATTCGACTCAACTGGAAAAACCAGCTGTCTTTCTCAACTTTCTGCTCTCTTGCAACGTTCGCTCGCTGACTAAATGACCCTAATCACTAAAAAATAAATATCTGACGAATCTTCTTTATATTTGTTTACACTGTGAATATTTGATTGCCACTTTTGTTTTCTGAATATCAACCTCAATACACTTTATAATTTGGACTGTCTGACAGCAGTTGTTCCTTGTTTTGGTTAACGTTTACATCAAGAGTTATAGAAGTTGTTAGACATTTTCTATTCGTCAATTATTAGTTTCGATGTTTTTTTTTTTACACTAGAAACAGTCCGGAAAAGCAGGGCTGCCAATTATGGGTTTTTAGCCCCAGATCTAGGTTTTTATTCAACGCCTTAGGTTCAAATTTTGAAATCTGGGTGTTTAAAAAAAAAAAACATATTCTTATATAAAAGTGGGCAAAGGTTTCATTTCGTAACTATAAAATTTGCAGTTTTCAACAATCAGGGTTTTTAATTTTGTTTTTTGTTCTTTGTATTGCTTGGGGCTTTTGGTTATCTTAGCTGTGTATTCCAAAAAAGTCCTATTGGCAGCCCTGCAGAGAAAAGATAAGTAATAATAGTTCATAGCATATTTCTACCAATACACTGCATTAAAAACTTGCTAATACAGATATCACTGTTGTCTGCTTATGACAGTTAAAAACGCGATGAGGATGGGTGGTTCTACGTACAGAGAGATCAGGATAATTTTTTTTTTAAATCATAGCGCCCATGAAAAGAGACGATGATGACCAGTCAACATCCAGTGAAATTCGGTGAGTATGAAATAAACAAATAGTTATTTTTTACTTTCTATCCCACCAGGATATCACACAAGCGATAAACACCTGATGACACAATGTGCCACCGTGTGGATGAGGATCACAGTGGAGAGGTCACAGAAACCGCGTTCAGCCCTTAGGCCATATTTATGGCCTGACTATATTGCGGCCCCAGGCAAGAGCCAGAGTAGGGCTTCACGTAACGAAAAATTTCATCATAAAAAGGACGAAGTGATTAAGAAATGGTTATTAAAAATACAAAGGATTAAGAGTACGATGTGAGCCAGGAAAACTCGTGGTAACTGTCGACAACGGATAGTATGCTATTTGAGCAGTGGTTTGCGACACTTAGCTTAATACTTCTTGTTGCTAATCTTGCCTGTGCGATATCTGTTGATTTGCTGACTGGTAGCTTCACACTTGGACGCTGTCTAGATCATTCTTGAACAGAGGTAGTTCCTTTGTATCTCACTGTGTTGATATCAAATGTGTTTGTGAAAGCAGTCTTATGCATGTTTCTGTAACAATACATTTCTACCACCCCCCTCCACGGGGCGCTTTATAATATTTTTTCCCTGCTTTATTTAAATCGAATTAAGATGTTATATTTGGAGTTGGTGGTCTGGAATAAAGCTTTGATTTGCTTAAAATATTACGTGGATGCTTGACAAGGTAGCTCTTTCAATAATTGCAGTATTTAGAATCAGTATCCTGTTATTTAATTTTAACCAAACCTCAGACATGTGAAAGTTACTCAGCGGCTTTGCACTGCGCCGGTACACTGTTCAAGTATCGCACGCAATATTGGTTGAGAAGTCGAGTAAGTGAAGTTCAACCCCACAACGAGCGATAATCTGTAATCTTTATATAAATAAACTTGTGAATCGAGCCGTGAGTATTACTAGACCTTACCCTACATTAACTATATTACATGCTTTCCTTAATGTCAACCGCAACAGCGAAAATTGGTCGGGGGGCGTGGGACCTTCTGATATCAAAATCCTAGTCAATTCCATCTTCCACGCACGTCGCCGCCAAAAAAGTATTAGAAAAATATAAATAATCTATTTTAATTTCATATGATTTTGAAGGCGACATATCAGGAAGTGGAAAACGTTGTTTCACCTAGGTTAAAAGGTGCTTTTTGCATTTTCTGTGTTTTATTTCCGCAACCAATTCAAAGAGGAATTCAAGGTGCCGTCATTACGGCACTCCCTTGAATCATTCCCCAAAATGGCGGCATGCCAAATTCTGGCCATAAAATATCCAAAAATATCCCA